CGCCAAAAATTGAGAAAAGCTGTACAGGTTCGTAAGTGCTTGCGTAACTGTTTCGTGAATCTGGTCCCCGGAGTTTAGAATGAGGAGCCGCCTTCCTGGCGTCAACCGAGAGGTGCCGTCTGATAAGCTGCTCCAAGCTTGACCTTCATGGGGAGGAAATGGTTTCCATGTCGACATTTTAAGAGTAAAAAAAAAAGTGCCATTGACATGCGCCGGTCGGCCGAGCGGACAGCACACTGGACTTGTGATCCTGTGGTCCTTGGTTCGATCCCAGGCGCCGGCGAGAAATAATGGGCAGAGTTTCTTTCACCCTATGCTCCTGTTACCTAGCAGTAAAATAGGTACCTGGGTGTTAGTCAGCTGTCACGGGCTGCTTCCTGGGGGTGGAGGCCTGGTCGAGGACCGGGCCGCGGGGACACTAAAAGCCCCGAAATTATCTCAAGATAACCTCAAGATAACCTCAAGACATGTGAAAGAATGAGCCCGATCGATCGATGTGGAGAGTCGAATCCAAATTGTTCCTCTCCCTCCATTGGCTGCACAGAGCTCATGTAGACGAGTTCTAATGATGTCAAGTTCTTCGATGACTTCATTAGAGACTGTTTTTTTTTTTTGAGATATATACAAGAGTTGTTACATTCTTGTAGAGCCACTAGTACGCGTAGCGTTTCGGGCAAGTCCTTAATCCTATGGTCCCTGGAATACGATCCCCTGCCGCGAAGAATCGTTTTTTCATCCAAGTACACATTTTACTGTTGTGTTAAACAGAGGCTACAGTTAAGGAATTGCGCCCAGTAAATCCTCCCCGGCCAGGATACGAACCCATGACATAGCGCTCGCGGAACGCCAGGCGAGTGTCTTACCAGGTTAGCTGTCTCCTAATTTACACAATGTTGTAAATCCACAATATTTGGCGTTTTCTGTAGATTGGGGATTGGTGTTGGATTCTGAATAAGAATGTGTTGTCAGATGTTGTTGTTATAGATTCAGCTACTTGGAACAAGTTCCAAGTAGCACGGGCTATGGTGAGCCCGTAGTGGACTTACCTGGCACAGGAGCGGGGCAAGTAGCACGGGCTATGGTGAGCCCGTAGTGGACTTACCTGGCACAGGAGCGGGGCAAGTAGCACGGGCTATGGTGAGCCCGTAGTGGACTTACTTGGCACAGGAGCGGGGCAAGTAGCATGGGCTATGGTGAGCCCGTAGTGGACTTACCTGGCACAGGAGCGGTGCTGTCAGAGGCGTACCACAGTAGTCATGTATATATATATATATATATATACATGACTACTGTGTATATATATATATATATATATATATATATATATATATATATATATATATATATATATATATATATATATATATAAACTTTACCGGTCCTGTGATTATCACTTCCTGTGTTGAACAGTATGGTTGAGGCTCTTGTGTTGCGCAGTGTAGGAGGAGAATTTATGGCGCGAATCCTCACTTTGTGCAACACTGTAGTAGCAGTAGGCACCCAGCATTTTCAGGAGACTATGGAGTTGCTCTCTGGTTGTCGAAGCTGGAATGGCCTCTCCAGGGCGCAAAGTCAGGGTAGGAGAAGCTCATGAATCCGTACACAAGTTGATTGACAGTTGAGAGGCGGGACCAAGGAGCAGAAACTTAACCCCCGCAAGCATAACTAGGTAACTACAACAACATATTACATGACTGTGTTTATTCTCCTGTGTTTACTAGTTGTGTTTTGTGGGGGTTGAGCTTTGCTCTTTCGGCCCGCCTCTCAACTGTCAATCAACTGTTTTACTAACTACTTTTTTTTTCCACACCACACACACACACCCCAGGAAGCAGCCCGTGACAGCTGACTAACTCCCAGGTACCTATTTACTGCTAGGTAACAGGGGCACTTAGGGTGAAAGGAACTTTGCCCATTTGTTTCTGCCTCGTGCGGGAATCGAACCCGCGCCACAGAATTACGAGTCCTGCGCGCTATCCACCAGGCTACGAGGCCCCCCCACCGGCCCCCCCTGTGTAAGTCTGATGTGGATATTGTGTCGTGTGTGTATATATACACATTGTATAATGATATCATTCATGACAGGATGAGTGTTGAACAGTGTTCGAGATGCCAATACCACGACATTGATAAGATAACGCAACAAGTCACTGATATCACACGGTACCCTCACGTGGTACCCTTCACAATGTACCCTCACACGGTACCGTCACATTGTAAATAAACTATGGTACTCTTGACCCCCTAACCCTCCGTCCAATCCCTAATCCTTATCCTGAACCCTTCCCAGTGCTATATAGTCGTAAAGGCTTGGCGCTTTCCCCCTGATAGTTGCCTACGGTACTGTTATTAGACCTACTGACTTTATAATATAATAGTCTATATTTGTCACCATTATCACCTTTATAGTGTATTCATCTATTGTTGTTTTTTTCCTAATTTTTTACATTTTTCTTAGCGTCTTTTTTAGTATTAAGAGGTTACCCCTTCATCACGGTTTTATTTACATTTTCTTTCTTACTATTTTCAGTTACTGGTTTGGAAACGCTCTAATACTGGATTCTCTTATGTTCTTTATACACACATTCTTTTGAATTCAAAATGAATTGGATTGATTTTAATTTTATAAATTTTCAGTTTACATTCTCGTATCCCCCCCCCCTTCCTCAGGGCTTTACAAAAATAAAATGTTGTCTAATGTTGACATGAGAACCAAATCACATTTTCCCGTCAGAATATCTTTCATTTCCGATCCTTAGTTTTTTAGTTCGTTTATTATGCACCCCATACCTATCCTGTGGGTAGTAATGGATAGGGGTTACAGAGGCACATAATAGGCTCAGGGACTGACCCCCACAATTCATTTAGCTAAGCAAGTTACAATCTTGATGAGCTAGTTACAAAATTCAGTATAAGTCGTCACATCAACAATGGGTTCGAGATCGACCTCAAGTACAGGTTCTAAATTAAGCAACTGACATATGTGGAGAGCACAATTGATATGTTTGTCCTGCACACCGCCCCCCATCCAGTGGGCAGTGGTGGATAGGTTACAATCACTTAGTTACTACCTACAGTTAGCAAACTGGAGATATATTGGCTAAAATTTCTGGTAGCAGATCATTTTGAATGAAATATTTACACATCGTTGGAACATTGGTTATAGAATTTTCTCTGAATTCACGTATCTTTTCGCACTCCATCACATAGTGACGGAGGGTGTGCGAATAATTTTGTTGATACAGTTTACATTTGGTCAGGTCTACATCAGCAGATAATGAGAATTCCCAGAGATACTTGTAACCGAGTCTAAGCCGAGTAGTAGTAACATCTTTACAAGAATGTAAATCTTGAAGTCTCTGTACTCTCATAACCCAATGTAACTTCTTGTATATAAATAAATAAATAAATAAAAATAAGTAAGTAAAAGAAAAAGAAATCCGGATCTTGGATGAGTGCCGGTGACGGCTCGAAATTATTTATTATATTAAACAGTTAATGAGCTCGGAAGCACCAGGAGGCTGTTTATAACAATAACAACAGTTGATTGGAAAGTTTTCATGCTTGTAAACTGTTTAATAAATGAAACCAAAGCCGGCAAAGATTGAAGAGAGATGTACACGTTCGTAAGTGCTTGCGTAACTGCTTTATGAATCCGGGTCAGTGGTGCCAGATCTCTGAATTGCTGAAAGTAGCGAGCTGATGGTCTAAAAGTAGCGAATTTGTAACAAGAGTAGCCCAATTTTTTGTTTAGTGACCGATACGGTTTTCAAAGTAATATATTTAAATACATAGAGTATACTACACGATTTTAATGGTTTTATTAATATTATCTCTGTATATATATAATAAAAAATGTGATAATAGGATAACTTATCAATATTTGTTGTATTAAGCATAGTGGATTTGGATCGAGTCCTTCCACTTCACTGTGGCTAAGTGGACAGTGCTTGGGACTCGTAATCCTAGAGCGTGGGTTCGATCCCAGTGGAAGGCGGAAACAAATGGGCAGAGTTTATTTTACCCTGATGCCCCTGTTCACCTAGCAGTAAATAAATACCTATACAGCTGCTAAGGGCTGCTTCATCTTTTTGATAAAGTAAATTCATCCTTTCAAAATCATTAGGGATTGGTTTGAGAAATGTGAAGTTATAGCTTATTGGACGGATAAGATTACATTATCAGTAACATTAGTTATTATTTATTATCTCAACATTAGTAGACCAACTTGCTTTTAAATTAGCCCAAAAAGTCGCATGTAGCGAAATAAACAAATCAGGCACTGAAAAATAGCCCAAAATAGCAAACAATTGTATCCGCATATCTCTTGCAAATTGTCTATACAGTATACCTAGGCCATAAAAGTATTTGTGTGTACGTCTGATATCATACTACTTGTGTAAAGGAGGAAATGTATATGTTTATCTCTCAAAATGTTCGGTAATACGTTTATGGCTTGTGATATGTGTCTATGTATGTATTAACACGATGTACTGAACGGGGGTGAGAATAGCTTGAGCTACCTCATCCCTTTGTGTGTATTTTACCTCAATAAACTTATTTCAATTTAGCCCAAATTCGCAACTTGTGGCCCAAACCCGCTACATGTAGTCCAAACCGCTACTTTATGGCTTGTGATGTGTGTATATGTATGTATTAACACGATGTACTGAACGGGGTGAGAATAGCTTGAGCTACCTCATCCCTTTGTGTGTATTTTACCTCAATAAACTTATTTCAATTTCAACTTAGCCCAAATTCGCAACTTGTGGCCCAAACCCGCTACATGTAGCCCAAACCGCTACTTTATGGCTTGTGATGTGTGTCTATGTATGTATTAACACGATGTACTGAACGGGGGTGAGAATAGCTTGAGCTACCTCATCCCTTTGTGTGTATTTTACCTCAATGAACTTACTTCAATTTCAACTTAGCCCAAATTCGCAACTTGTGGCCCAAACCCGCTACATGTAGCCCAAGCTGCTACTTATAGCCCAACCTGGCAACACTGCTCCTGGCGCCATCAGCTGCTACACATACACACACGCGCGCGCGCTTTCTGCCCCCGTCTCTCTCTCTCTCTCTCACGCCGGACACCATGGTGGAGCAGGCCCAGTTCCGCATCCAGGAGGCCATGACGGCCCTGGTGGATGACCTGGATAAGACGTACCTACGAGGCATCCAGGTGAATATATGGGCGGCCTATGGGCGGCCGTGGGCGGCTTTTGCCGGGTCATGCTTACCGACACTCCATTCAAAAGTATTTTCCCCTCTAATTATGCTACATTTTGCGTTAATATGTGTATACATGTATACGGGGACTTGTCAAACGTCTATACATAATACATTGTGTGTGGGGCATGATACATATGTGTGGGGGGGGGGAAGGGGTTAATGACCCTCTATTAACCCCGGCTTTGACCTGACCTGACCTCCAATGGTGTGGATAATGTGCCCTTTCGTACCCTGTAGTGGTCGGAGGATCCGGTGGTGGTGTAGGGAAGCGGTTTCTAAAACGCTGCTTTTCTGATTGTCTAAATCGTAGAGGTCATTAGATTAGGGTGGGGTGGGCTGGATTAGGCTTGGTTGGATTAGGCTTGGTTCAGCTTGGCTGGATTAGGCTTGGTTCAGCTTGGCTGGATTAGGCTTGGTTCAGCTTGGCTGGATTAGGCTTGGTTCAGCTTGGCTGGATTAGGCTTGGTTCAGCTTGGCTGGATTAGGCTTGGCTTGGCTCAGCTTGGCTGGATTAGGCTTGGCTTGGCTCAGCTACGCTGGATTAGGATTGGCTTGGCTTGGCTGGGCTGGATTAGGCTTGGTTCAACTTGGCTGGATTAGGCTTGACTCACTTGGGCTCGGCTGGATTAGGCTTGGCTTGGCTGGGCTGGGCTGGATTAGGCTTGGATCGGCTTGGCTGGATTTGGCTTGGCCTGGCTGGATCTCGGTCTCGGTCTCGGACCAGGCCTCCTGGTTGGCAGTCTGGTCATCCCGGCTGTTAGGTGTCATTTATCCGCAGACTGGCAAATGCCAAAACTGTGTTAGTTTTTAAAATTACCTGGAAAAGATCAAGGCAAATGGGGGGGGGGGACCTTCGACAAGCCACCAGCTTCCTGTCCCCTTCAAGGTCCCTTGGGTTAGTAGCCCTTGGGTAAATCACGTAGGGATATAATTAATCTAGCCCGGTTGATCAGGTATCCATTGGAGGTGGTATATAAAGCTTTTATTTTTTTTTAATACTTTGAGAGGTAAGTTACGCCACCTTGTGCGTGGCCTCGTAGCCTGGTGGGTAGCGCGCAGGACTCGTAATTCTGTGGCGCGGGTTCGATTCCCGCACGAGGCAGAAACAAATGGGCAAAGTTTCTTTCACCCTGAATGCCTCTGTTACCTAGCAGTAAATAGGTACCTGGGAGTAAGTCAGCTGTCACGGGCTGCTTCCTGGGGGTGGAGGCCTGGTCGAGGACCGGGCCGCGGGGACACTAAAGCCCCGAAATCATCTCAAGATAACCTCAAGATAACCTTACATTTAAGAGTGTGTGTTGAAAGGTCTTGGTCCCTTTATATCCATATTATTGTCTCTTAGCTAGGGGCCTGATGGCTGAGTGGACAGCACTCGGGATTTGTAGTCCTGAGGTTCTGGGTTCGATCCCTGGCGGTGGCGGAAACAAATGGGCTGAATATGTCATCCAGATGCCCCGGTTCACCTAGCAGTAAATAGGTACCTGGGAGTTGGACAGCTGCTACGGGCTGCTTCCTGGGGGGGGAGGGGGGTAACAAAAAGGAGGCCTGGTCGAGGACCGGGCCGCGGGGACGCTTAGCCCCGAAATAAGTAATAAAATAAGTTTGTATTTCTGTTTATTGTTGTTATTTTGACAATATATTTTTTTCAGAGGACAATGCACATGTGTGCAGCCGAATGTTGTGAAAAACGGGAGAATTCGGTTGACCAAGTACACCGTTGCATTGAGAACTGCTCGACTCCCCTTACTCAGGCACAGACGTTTGTGCAGAACGAATTGTCGCAGTTCCAAGTAAGCCTTGCGCGCTCTCCATTTGTTGTTCACTTGTTTATGTTCAACTTTATTTAAAATTCATGTGATATAACCGTGAATCATTTGATTATGGAGTGTTTTCATAAATGGACTAGAGAGAGAAAGCAGGCACCTTGCATTTCTTCTGATCACGAGTAGCTGTATTTTAACCACTGTACTGTGCCGTACTTTTATTTAATAATCCCCTATGTGCATACAAAATATTAATCCCCCCCCCCAAAAAAAAAAAAAAAAAATAGTTTTTTCATTCTTGTATTGTTAAAATGTGTTTGCAATCACAGGAAATAACTAACAAAAAGTATTGTGTGTGGCGTACTTTTGGCCGTGATGGAGCGAGGACGTCTGGTCGTTAAAAACGCTCGTTCAGGCATTGAACGAGTACCCGCCAGCGGCAGTGTGGCGGGTTACTGCAAAAGTTGTTTTTTACATAATAATTTCAATGCGCTTTTTTTTTTTTTTATCTAGTTTTTGCTGTAACATTATTCAATAGTGTGCAATTTGATGAATTTATAGTTAAACGCATGAAATATTGTTCTGCTCAGAAATACGGTGCTCGTGTCTGGTGACACACGTTATATTCTTAGATCAATAAAAACTGCTTTTGCTGTTGTTACACTATATACAAACATTGTATATATAACGATTTACATTTCTGGGCACCATAATGAGCCATTAATCAAACTGCTCTGTTGAGTTTGATCTACCTGGTTGATTGGATTCTGGGAGTTGTTCTTCTCCCCGAGCCCGGCCCGAGGTTAGGCCTGACTTGTGAGAGTTTGGTCCACCAGGCTGTTGCTTGGAGCGGCCCGCAGGCCCACATATCCACCACAGCCCGGTTTTTCCGGCACTCCTTGAAGGAAACAATCTAGTTTCCTCTTGAAGATGTCCACGGTTGTTCCTGTAATCCGGGGTGTAGACAATTTTTTTGTTTTTTTCCGAGACGATGGCATTTACATACTGGGGTCCCGAGTTAAAGGATGCAAGCCTTATACCTTGCGATGATTACGGGGGCTTAACGTCCTTGCGTCCCGGTCCTTGACCAGATCCTCCTCCAGGCCATTAACCAAGAGGAGGACCAGGTTCTCCTGGTTAAAAGGTTAAAGCTCTAATATACCCATGGAGTTTTGAATCTTACAATATACTGTACTAACTCGCTTGATATACTAGTGCTCTCTTTCCCCCTTTCCCCATGATTTGATGTGTGCAGTACAGTGGTTAATTCATAATTACCTTCCAATTCAATTTGCTTGTCAATATTTGGAAATCAAACAAAAGGCAATGTATTTATCTTAGGAAGGAAATTGATTTCCAACTTGAGATGACTTTTACGGGGGTGCATTTCAGGAGCGTCTACAGCGTTGTGTTATGGTTTGTCAAGATAGAGTAAGAGACCAGGTCACGGCGGACACCTCGGAGGCTCAGGTTTGTAATGGATATTATTACGGTGCTCGTATTTATTTATTTATTTATTTATTTATTTATTTATATACAAGAAGGTACATTGGGTTTGTGAGAATACATTGGATAGTACAGTATTTACATTCTTGTAAAGCCACTAGTACGCACAGCGTTTCGGGCAGGTCGTATTGGTTGATGTGACATTTTACATTTAGTACATTTAGCGCTAATTGTAACATTTGTACTGTCTGGACATCATTGTACAAAACGGGTTTTTGGAAGTGTGATGGGGACATCAACAGCTTTATTAGTACTGAAACACTTAAATTTTTGTTTTAAACCATTTTTAATTGTCCATACAATATACTGTGTTTTAAAATACAGTACAATAACTATTTTTTTTTTGTTAATGTTGTCTAAAAATATATTTCATATCTAGAAAGAAAAAAAGCATTTCTATGAAAGTTTAAATTAAAATTTGATTACTGTATCTTTGCATGTCATTGAAAAGCATATTCATTATTTTTACCAAAAATGATTTGGAAATCTAAAAATACTGCAGTAAATATTTGAAATTTAGAAAAAGCAATTTTGTTTTGTGGCGACCGTTGGAATATTATCCAAATTGGATAGATAATAACCATCAACCATGAATTTTTGCTCAGTGTTTTGTAATTTGAAATTGACCATAAAAATATACAGCTCCAAAACTCGACAATACCTCGACTGAAGTAATTATGTATATACAGTACTTTGCAAAACTTGTACTACATTAAATCTGAAAATTTCATAAATAATCAAATAAAAATAAATAAGGTAAGAGTTGCCTGATTTTCTTTTAAATAAAGTGTAAAATATTACTAAAAAAAAAGTAGGCTTTTTTTTGTGCTATGAAAGTTGGTCAAAAGTGTACTACAGTTACATTTCAAGTGATGGATGTACTGCCTTAAAATAGTGATGATATCTTATATTCGTGTTGTAATGTATTGCGACCATCCTTATCTTGTATTATGTAATACACTACTGTAATATAACACTACGCAACACAGAGATCACGCTAATGTGATGCATCAAACGAACAAATCCACAAGGGGCCGTGACGATGATTCGAACCTGCGTCCGGGAGCAACTTCGGTTTTTTAGAACTTCGGTTTCAACTCTTTAACCCTGTCGTAGCTCAGTCGATAAAGGCAGTGTCTGGGATGCTCCCGGACGCAGGTTCAAATCCTCGTCACGGCCCTTGTGGATTTGTTCAACACGACGTAATATTTAACAAGAATCTGTAGTGAATAATATCAAAATAATTGTTTTACTAATCAAAGTGTTAAAATGGCAGGTTATAAAGACTAATATCTTAACCTAATGCATTAGTGATATTAACACTTGGTCAATATTACATTGGTCATATAGTCATGCACAACATTGGTCAACATTAACTCTTAACAGTCTGCCACTTCAATGCACTCCCGACGCACTAGGGTGCCCGGCGGCTGAGTGGACAGTGCTCGGGATTTGTAGTCCTGAGGTTCCGGGTTCGATCCCCGGTGGAGGCGGAAACAAATGGGCAGAGTTTCTTTCACCCTAATGCACCTATTCGCCTAGCAGTAAATTGGTACCTGGGAGTTAGACAGCTGTTACAGGCTGCTTCCTGGAAGTTTGTAACAAAAGGGAGGCCTGGTCGAGGACCGGGCCGTGAGGACGCTAAGCCCCGAAATCATCTCAAGATAACCACTTCCGAGTGGGAAAAATCCCTGGCCTCTCGAGGTCTCCTGCTCGGTGATGCCTAAAATTTATATTATCTTTTTATGATTTAAGATATTTTTTGGGGGGGGTTATAAATTAATTTGATGTCAAACTGTAAATTTTTACAAGTACTGTATAGACGTAAAACAAAAGGAGTTTTGATAAATTATGTATGACGACGCTAAATATGCAAATTTTATAAATATTTCAACATTCTCATGCTATATAACAAAAAATAAATGGGCATGTGCTTTCATGATTGGCCTATATCAACGCAAAAACAAAACAAACAAAATAATAATCATACTTTATCAAGTTATCTTGAGGTTATCTTGAGATGATTTCGGGGCTTTAGTGTCCCCGCGGCCCGGTCCTCGACCAGGCCTCCACCCCCAGGAAGCAGCCCGTGACAGCTGACTAACACCCAGGTACCTATTTACTGCTAGGTAACAGGGGCATAGGGTGAAAGAAACTTTGCCCATTTGTTTCTGCCTCGTGCGGGAATCGAACCCGCGCCACAGAATTACGAGTCCTGCGCGCTATCCACCAGGCTACGAGACCCCTTAAGTAATTTGCTCAGCAATGTGGAAATTATGGTCTTTGGGTTGACATTGGATTAGCCTGGTAATATGGTTGATCCCCTGATCGGCTCCGATTTTTTTTCTTTAGCATCATCAGAATGTTTACCGTCTAAAGTACAGGTGACGTGTTTTATCTAAGTTATTAAAGAAAACAGTAATTATATGTCTATGAAGGAGAGGATGGGTGTTGTTTACGAGATTGTAGTAATATGCATTTCTCAGAATTTCCAGAGATACTTGTGAATCCGTTGCATTTTACACTGATTTTGATGTAAAATGTCATTTAACCCTTAAACTGCGCAACGCGCCTGCAGGTCCACGTCTGGTTTGTGCAACGCGCCTCCGGGTATTTTTATTTTTCACGTTCCATTCAAAACTCCCGCGGCTACATGGGGTTCACATCAGCTTCCTCGATGCTCTTGTAAACAAATGCCATCTTTAACCCCTTAACTGCTTGGCTTCCAAATATGACACCCCCTCCCCCAGTGTGCAGGAAATAAATTCTCTGGAAAAAATTCTTTTGTTTTTTAGTGTCAAAAACCCTTCCCTCAGTATGGGTATGTCAAAAAAATTTCGACATTGTACGTACGTTGGCTGCTATGGGGTCTGTAAGTTGGCGCGTGACATCATCATTCCCCGTTCGCCCATGACGTACGCTCCCGGGGCCAGTAGGGCGCCCGGGGAGGGCCGAGCGAGTTGCCGCGAATATATTTTTGTTCATTTTTTGCGCACAGTTCCAAATACATTTTATTTGTTTTTATGTGCTAATCCTATGTATAATGAACACGTACACTATATTATGGCAGTAAAACATCCGTACTGTCCGAAGACACTGTGTTACGTGCATGACACTTGTTTGCACATGTTGCACATATTTACCATGTATCATGCTGATGTATGTATATATATATATATATATATATATATATATATATATATATATATATATATATATATATATATATATATATATATGTATATAGCCTACTATGCAAGGCCCGATTTGCCTATATAATTATATATATAATATATAAATATAAATACTATGTATGAGGTCAATTTTTTTTTATTGGAGTTAAAATTAACGTAGATATATGACCGAACCTAACCAACCCTACCTAACCTAACCTATCCTATCTTTATAGGTAAGGTTAGGTTAGGTAGCCAAAAAAAGCTAGGTTAGGTTAGGTTAGGTAGGTTAGGTAGACGAAAAAACATTAATTCATGAAAACTTGGCTTATTAGGCAAATATAGTAGGCTGAGAAGTGAGTTCTGGCTACTAGGTACGACATATATATATATATATATATATATATATATATATATATGTATATTTATAGGTAAGGTTAGGTTAGGTAGCCAAAAAAAGCTAGGTTAGGTTAGGTTAGGTAGGTTAGGTAGACGAAAAAACATTAATTCATATATATTATATATATATATAGGTACGATATATATATATATATATATATATATATATATATATATATATATATATATATATATATATATATATATATATATATATATATATATTCTCAGCCTACTACACACACACACACACCTACACACACACCTAACCTACACACACACACACACACACACACACATGGTAGCACACACACACACACATCTATTTACACACTATACACTGTCACACAGTATATACATTCCCCATCAACACACTCAGAACTCCTCGAGTGTGAGCAGCCACACCCAGCCAGCCAGTCCTCCCTTATTCCTCCAACATCGCACTCACCATCACCCCTCCTCCCACCATACTGTTATTCACACCAATGTTTCCGTATCATTTATGTATATTTACAACACATTTACACACTACACTGTCACACACCATAAACACACTCAGAACTCCGCGAGTGTGAGCTGCCACACCCAGCCAGCCAGTCCTCCCTCTCTCCTCCAACATCGTACTCACCACCTCCTCCCACCATACTCTTACTGTTTTTATTACACTATTTACATATGTATACCTATCTACATGTTTTATTCACCAGAACTATGCAAGTAAGCCGGTATTGTGTCCAAACAGTACAGTTGCCACCATACACTGCATGAGAAATCTCACAGCAGACAGCAGATGTCGCTACGATTACGACATCACCTCCCTCACCAAAATAGCTCCTCTCAACATACTCCTGTTACTGTTAATACACTATATACACACACTCTGTATATACCCATGTACATGTGTGTTCTCCATAGCGAACCACTAAGCTAGTATGGTGAGCAAAACAGAGTGGCTGCCACACACAGTGAGGCTACCTCAATTCTCGCCCTCCCTCCCTCACCAAAATTCCTCCTTCCACAATACTACGCACAATGCTAATTATAACCACAATCCTGCTATTATCACAATCCTGGTCACTAATTCCTGTAAATGAATAATTGACCACACGTTTATTTTGAAAAGGAACCTAAGAAGTCATTTGAAGATTCCTAGATGGACGAAATAATGCTGTTGTGCTGTGGCTAGCGCTGTGAACATCGTGAACAGCATTGATTCACTGATATTTGAACATTGTACCCAGTCATTATCACACTCAGGCTCTTCTATAATATTATCATGGCTAAATAATACAAGTTATATATATATTTTGACATTATTAGGCGATGCTGTGGTCACAAGCTGAACAGCAGTGCTGTGCGCTCATGCTTCGAGCGCCAGCCTTGGTTGCTCACTCACTACTGAGGCTTTCACACCCCGAGAATGTGGACCACGATTTTTTTTAACTGCATGTTCAAACCATGAAAGTGTTGAATGTATTTACAGGTTGAGAGGTAGGTTTTCATAAGACAACCCAAAAAGTGAAAAAGTGTGCTAGGAATAAGGAAGGAAATTAAGTACTGTACAGTACTTGTATTGAATTATCAAAAACTTGGAGTTAACATTTTGCTTAAATATGCATCCATACGAATAACTGAGCATTTACAGCGTTGTGGTACGAACAACAGTCATCAGTGAAGCACTTGTTCCGGAAGTGTTCGGACATCATCGGTTGAGTTGTATGTAAACCGTTTTTCATTCATAAACAAGAGGTTTGGCGAGTGCATAGAACGGACCTCGACCTTTCTTTATGATACGTCCCGGCGGTTCACGTCCCCGATACTCGGGCAGCGGTTTGTGGGGCAGTGAGCATCTTGTGAGCCGGTCGGCCGAGCGGACAGCACGCTGGACTTGTGATCCTGTGGTCCAGGGTTCGATCCCGGGCGCCGGCGAGAAACAATGGGCAGAGTTTCTTTCACTCTATGCCCCTGTTACCTAGCAGTAAAATAGGTACCTGGGTGTTAGTCAGCTGTCACAGCCTGCTTCCTGGGGGTGGAGGCCTGGTCGAGGACCGGGAAGCGGGGACACTAAAGCCCCGAAATCATCTCGAGATAACCTCAAGATATTGTGGCTATCTGGTGTCTATCCAGATATCATTTTGATAAATACAACTATCATGCTCAGAATGTCATAAAAGATGTGGAACCTGTACCCCTAAAATGTCCTAAATCATCTGTATTCTGTTAAATCCCTTAATTTTTGTTTCCCAAACATTGCTTCTGACTACATGTTATTAGTCTTGCATAAAACCAAGTCTGAGTACAAATAAAATGTAACAACACATTAAAATTTAACAATTGTGCTGGGCTAATTTAAGTTGCTTTCATGATGAAAGTCGGTGTATCATTGCGATGAAGAATTTTGTTTTCCATATAGGTAAAGGGGATTCTTGTTAAGTTTCAATTCATCCACTAACAAATTGTTTGGTCTTGATGCTAACTTAAACAAAGGCTTATTTATGTATTAAAGTTGAGAGTGACAGGTTCTACCGCTTCATCACAAACGGCGCAAGTTGTACAGTACATGTACTGGTGATTTAAACATTTGATACTTGATTGAGTGCAATAATATGTTGATATATCCATAAATTTACAAGTTTAATATGTGGACTTCACTCTTGCCAGGAGCCGCAACGCAACAGCTCACTATCCCTAGCCAACGCCGCGGGCAGTGTCTTTCGTCAAGCAGCTCTGGGCAGAGACGGAGTATGACCCATGTTTATTCATGAAGTGGTGGCAGTGGCCTGGGGGATTTGGAATGCTTTAGAAGCGCTAAGACTTGCCGCCAGTGTAGTGCAGCAAAAAAAAAAAAAATACAAACCCTCCCAGAACCTATACTTGGGAAGTTTTGGAAAAGTCTTCCATGAACAGGCTAGGAGTTTTGCTTTTGGTTATCATGGAGCAGCTTGGATGTGAGCTTCCCAAGGTATACTTGTTGAAATCATTGTGTAGAAGTATTCTTCCAATTTGGTTTAGTTCTCCCTGGAGCTATGCAGTTTTCGTAGCGAATGCAACAGTAGAGCGTTATCAGTTACCTTGGGAAGCTACTCGGTCCACTTAATTATTGTTGTGTTATCTTGAAAACTGTGCGTGTCCATTTGCTTGAAAGAGTAAATGCGTGAAGTATGTACGAATAATGAGCAATGACCATTATGCTTACATAAACTGTTTTTAAGGAGAATGCAACAGCCTAATATGTGCAAACTGTGGTGTGGGGTATCATTCCTTGCTTTGTAACACTTCTGTGACTAACTTTTGTAACTGTAACTCTTGTTGTGGCAGTCGGTTGATTTTTTCACTGGAGGGTGCGAAGACTGTCTTCCTTCAATTAGCAGATAATACCTTCTCCATTCTCTAAACTGGTAATAATTCATACATTTTCAGACTATTAATACAATGGTGGATAGTGGGAGATGACATTATTCGTGTAAAGGGTTTCAAACGACATTTATTAACCTGGCTTTGTTCTGGGTGTGTGTGTGTGCGCGCGCACAGTCTACCAGTGCAGTATTCATAGTATTGTAGAGTCATGAGGCCTTCCAAAATAACTTGTCCAGTTTGTATATTTTTAGTTTGACTAATTTTTGTCTTGACGAATCTTTATAAGAGACGTGCAGTGTCGGTGACGGGCAGGATACTTAATTATGAAAGCCAGAAATGACCATAATGCCCCTTAGTGTGTGTGTTGCGTCTTATGTAGTGTGTTGTCTTCTCGTCATAATAGTCTTATGTAGTGTGTTGTCTTCTCGTCATAATACTTTTTTTATCGGACAATTTATATTTAGTGTATTATAGTACTGTAGTTTAATGTATTAACACTGTACATATTTTATGCTTAGTATACTGTACATAGCTATGTGGTTCTGTGTGAATGATTAAAAGACAAAAGTTTGACTTACGTGTTTGTGTAAAACAGCATGTTAAAAGTATGCATGTGATTGATCTGTTGATGGTGTTATGATTAAAATGAATAATGAATTGCTGTGCCTCAAAAAATGAGGTGAATAATGGAAAGCAAAGAAGTTTGAGGTTTTCAGTTGTTCTCAGTATGTCATGTTAAAAGAATGACGTTTTCAGTTGTTCTCAATATGTCATGTTAAAACAGCATTTGTCAAGACACCAATGAAACTCTCCTGATTAAACACATGACATGCTGGGCACTGCTGGATTTTAGGACGGTAGATTATCTAATAGACTGGATGCATAAAGATGAAAATATGGTTGTCGTGCTAGTCGTACTCTGTGTATGGAGTACAGTCCGTTATGCATGGCGTGTAATGTGTTCATTTGATATACCATATGTGTGAGCAGACATGTGTGTGTGAGACATTTGTATGTGTGAGCAGACATGTTCATTTCCCAGTATATAAATGTGCAAGCGCAAAGCCAGTTAATAACCTGAAGCAGAATTAAAATCTTCAAGAAACATTAGCACTTTGAATAAATGTTGCGGTACGTTAGCATCTCTGATATCCGAACCTTCCTGTAACGTATAGCTCTGAACAACGGACAAGTTTAGCCAGTGCATCCCTCTCCAAATTTTGTATGTTTTGATTTGTGGGGAATGGGGGGGGGGGGGTGCTGCTGTGAAACCCGGATCATTGGGTAAAGTAATTTCCTGCAGGTCAAATTTTTTCTAAAAGTTTTGTATTGTGCGTTTTTTTAATTCACTTGAGGCCAGAGTTTAGGTCGGTGGAAGTGCCAGAAAAGTGTTTCTAAAAATTCTGAAACACTTAAAGTAAAAGTTTAGTGCATGCAAATCTCGTAGAGTTGAGTGCATGGGGATAGTCAATGGGCCTTGTGCATTTCCACCATTTTGGGATCATGGCTCTTGTTTTAAAAAGTATGATTTACGGATCCGGATCCTGAGAAATACTGCACTGAGGGAAATGTCTTGACTTTCAGGCTTTCTTGGTAGTTATCCATCATGATAGGTTGAAATTTTACAATTTCACTGAAATTCACTTATCTTGAGAGGATTTCGGGGCTTAGCGTCCCTGCGGCCGGGTCCTCAACCAGGCCTTCTTTTTGTTACACACACCCCAGGAAGCAGCCTGTAGCAGATGTCTTAACTCCCAGGTACCTATTTACTGCTAGGTGAACAGGCACACCAGAGTGAAAGAAACTGTCCATTTGTTAAGCTTCCACCGGGGATCGAACCCGGAACCTCAGGACTATGAATCCGAAGCACTGTCCACTCAGCTCTCAGGCCCGGTAGAGTAAATATTAAGAGTATGAATAGTAACTTTTTTTTTTTAACCCTCGAATTGGAATTGTGTGCAGTGTTCTGTAGACATTACCTATGCATTAATCTGTACCATGTGGTTTCAGTCATTAACTGCTCATATCAACCAGGAGTCAACTATCTGCGGGCTCACCATAGCCCGTGCTACTTGGAACTGTGTTCCAGGTAGCGAATCTTTAAGAACAACAAACAACAACCAGGAGTCATTTCATAGGTGGTGCATATGTCAATTTTAGGTGTGCCATAAGATTTATTACTACCGTGGATATATGGAGCACTCTCGTGCTTCTTTGGGCTCCCAGTAAACAGTTACTGTCTAGGAAAAAATCATGGGCACACCTACAAGGTGTGAGGGCCTAGGTCCTAATACAGCAAACAGAAGTGGCACATGTAGCAGCAGCTCACAGCATCACAAATACATCTCATGGTCATCTTGGAGTTACCTTGCAGTGATTCCAGGAATCGACGTCACAGCTTCGTGGTTGCTGGTCTGATCAACCAGGCTATTCGATGCTGCTGCTTCCAGCCTGACGTACGAATCGCTGCCTGGTTGATCAGGTATCCTTTGAAGGTGCTTGACTAGTTTCTTTTGAACTCTGATTCTAAATCTGGACACATGAATATCACATGAGACCAAAAGGCATGGCAGGATGTGCAGAATACCCCCATTGAAAGGCAGAGGTTCAATAGGTACTCTTGAGTGAGAACCCCACCAATATCAGAGGCTAGAGATTGTTCAACACGCTTCCACTATACATAAGGGACATAACTGGCCGACCCCTCAGTGTTCAAGAGAGAACTATCAACATCAGAGACTGTTCCACGCTTCCACTATACATAAGGAACATAACTGGCCGACCCCTCACAGTGTTCAAGAGAGAACTATCAACATCAGAGACCCAAAACTGTTCAACACGCTTCCACTACACATAAGGGGCATAACTGGCCGACCCCTCACAGTGTTCAAGAGAGAACTATCAACATCAGAGGCCCGAGACTGTTCAACACGCTTCCACTACACATAAGGGACATAACTGGCCGACCCCTCACAGTGTTCAAGAGAGAACTATCAACATCAGAGGCCCGAGACTGTTCGACACGCTTCCACTACACATAAGGGGCATAACTGGCCGACCCCTCAGTGTTCAAGAGAGAACTATCAACATCAGAGGCCCGAGACTGTTCAACACGCTTCCACTACACATAAGGGGCATAACTGGCCGACCCCTCAGTGTTCAAGAGAGAACTATCAACATCAGAGGCCCGAGACTGTTCAACACGCTTCCACTACACATAAGGGACATAACTGGCCGACCCCTCACAGTGTTCAAGAGAGAACTATCAACATCAGAGGCCCGAGACTGTTCAACACGCTTCCACTACACATAAGGGACATAACTGGCTGACCCCCTCACAGTGTTCAAGAGAGAACTATCAACATCAGAGGCCCGAGACTGTTCAACACGCTTCCACTACACATAAGGGGCATAACTGGCCAATCCCTCAGTGTTCAGGAGAGAACTGTATAAACACCTCCAAAGGATACCTGATCAAACAGGCTGTGATTCATGTCAGGCTGCAAGCAGCTGCATCCAACACCCTGGTTGACTAGATCGTCAGCCAGGAGGCCTGGTCATGGAACGAGCCGCAGTCTCGGTCGCAGGTATTGCAACAGAGTATTGCTTGGTTATCAATATGATCTATATTGCCCGGTATTGATAGGTTGCAACCCCTGGAATCAACGCAAGGTGAATAACATTGCGAGAGGTCGACCAGTTATGCCCTGAAAAAAAGACTGTAATGTAGTGGAACAAAAACTGTGCCTTGGGGTACAGAGCTTGTCATTGTGTTTGGGCTTGATTTTGTTTGATTTGTTTACTTTTTGCATCCTGTTTGACAGGATGTTGAGTATCCATCACTCTACACGTTATTCATTTAGATGTCATTTGATGGGTTATCACACGGTGGTCACATTTGAGGTGCCCTTATTTAGCGCCCTCTGATTATTCCGCACATTTGATGGTGCTACATAGCCTTCCCGGTTTGGTGCCTTCTTTTGATAATTACTTGCTTGAGATGCCCTTGCAATAGATTTTGTATACATCTAGGTTTTTGTTATGCTTACGTGATTTTATCATAGTGGTTGAGTAGTGTGGAAGATAGGATCTTCCTGATCTAAACTCTGTTTATCTGGGTTGTAAAGTTCACCAGTTTTCCATAATTGGAATAATTAATTAATTCTCATTAATTAATTCTCATTAATTAATGGAATCATAATTAATTCCATAATTAATTATAATTCCATAATTAATTTCCAAAGCTGGGAATTTGACTCGTAATCACTTTCAAAATCTTCGATTGTGTGTGATAGTGGAACCGAGCTATAGTTTTTAGCCAGCACTTTGCTTTGCTAAAAAAGTATAGCTGCTAGGTGGTGTCAGTCACCAGCCCCAACACTCGCCTTGTAAGTCTTGCTACTGGTAGAGCAGTTTATTTCATACTCTCGGGGATGACGTTAGAGTTAGCTACAGGTACTTGTAATATATTCTTATTGTTAATAAGAGATGTGCCAGACACAGTGTCCCTCTTTTTATGAAGCTCCCAGGAAAAAAACTAACGAGTTTCATGATTTTTGTTCCTCAATATGGCAAAGAATTGCCAGGTTTGTTTAGTGGGAAATGGTGAGCCGGCAGGGCATTAAAATGTTGTCGAGTGACGTATGGTTAATATGACTCCAAATCGCGTTATAATTGTTATCATAGATGGGTGCACTATAGAGAGAGTTGTAGTCTTGGGATAGCTCGGAGTATATTTAAAACTATAAAACTAATTCTATGGTTGTTAGCATTGGCACAGTTTTCTTCTAGGTAGTTGTGGTGAAATATCGCTACACACAGGTTCTGGTACGGTAGTTATCCATCGTATAAGTTGCAATTGAGATGCGGCAACATCTCTCTACACACGCATGATGGACAACTACCGTACCAGAACCTGTGTGTGTAGGGAGATGTCGCCGCATCTCAATTGCAACTTATATGATGGACAACTTCCGTACCAGAACCGAAGTTGCAGTTAAGATGCGGCGACATCCCTCTGCACACCGATTCTGGTATGGTAGTTGTTCATCATATGATAGGTTGCAATTGCAATTAAAGTTTAGCTCTGAAATATGTTAAAACTGTCTTTGACTGATCATATGTTAAAATTTTTGCATGTTAATGCTACATCAGGAGAAATGGTTGGTGTCTTGGGAAAAGTATTAAGCATATTTATAGCAATAATTGGGATCATTTGAAATTAGACCGTTGCATGGAAAATGTTGAAATTTGAATGTTAAATAGGCTAAAATGGGTAATTTTTTTTTTGTTGAAACTGATTTAATTCAAATCTGGCTCAGAGGCTGGACCAGTATGTTCTGGAATTTTGGGTGGCTCGAGTATTTTCTCATAGGAAAGAGTGATAGACGAGCTTTTTAATATGTTAGCAATTAAGTTATATCCTATGGAAATACTGTACAATTATTTCATGATAGTTAAACGCTGCTCAAACACAACAGTTTGTGTTCGATTCTATATGCTGCTTAAAACAGTATCCATTGTAAACAGTCTCAATTGTATTTTGGGTAACAGTTACCAAATTTTTGTTAGTATTGGCCACTCTTTCTCCAGCAGACAGTACAGTATGTTCTTTTTTGGATGATGGGGGCTTTTAACTTGGGACAATAGGATCTCTCTTGATGTAGGAGGAATGTTTTCTAAGTGTCCTCGTCTGGCCAATTCCAGCCCTAATTGAGCTAATGGAATGAGTATCTAATTTCATTCATTCCAGTCCTGAATAAATGAGATTGGATACTCTAATTTCTCCCAAGCACTACTTGTGATATCAATCCTCCATGTAATGCTAACCATCACTTGATTACTACCTGCTAGTTTGCTGTTCATTTGAAGTGCCTGTAACTTTTAATACTGTATGTGGTGTTTGAGAGTGTGTGTGTTTTGAAGGGCACAGTGCAATTTTAGTGGGGTTGACCATCACACACACGGCAGTGGTACTAGGACACCAGAGATGAAATTATTTGAAGAAAATGATTCATTTTAGTATTTTGATAACACAAATTTTTAATCGAATAATTTTGTAGACTTTAGACAAGGTTAAAAGTATGAAAATATGGTATTTAAAGGAGGTTGCTTGACATAGAGTGCAGTAGTGTGGTACGAGTGTATTTTGTAGAATCATTTTTGGTGTATGTTGTGAAGTAATATTTGTGCAGTATCATTCACATGAAACTTTTTACAGGTATCTGTATACAAGGCAGAATTTGAGGGGTGCGCCATGCAGTGTGTAGATGACCATATTCAACTGATGCCTTCCGTTAAGAAGAGGATTGCAGGTGTCTTAGCGAAAAACTCTTAAAGTTTCTTTAAGAATATTGAGCAGGTTTTATAGCGGGTTCTTAAATGATAGTTACGTGAAGAAACGTGGCACAAGCCTTTTTTGGTTCAGTGGTATTGAAATAAATAAATATTTTATAAAATTGAGAAATGAGGTTAGTGATCTATAAATTACATCAAAATCAAAACTATGCAGTTGTGCTATTTAATAAATTTACTTTCGTGCTGCATTGGTAGCTTTCAACTGTATTATAACCAAATAGTTGAACTTTGTTTATTTTAATTTGTATTCTTAAACGGGTTTAGGATTCAGTGTCTGCTTAATAGCAAGCAAGATGAAGTTGAGTGAGGGTGAGAGTTGGAGAGAGTCTCTGCAAGCCCCAACGCGTGGCGGAGTGGCAAGTATTACGGTAAATGCACTTCTCGTCTAATTGGTGACTTGGTGCGGTGGTTTCATATATTACTCAAGAGACTGACCTGGGGATATTCCTGCACGGGCCCTAAGCCTCTGGCGGGCCCAATAGCTGTTGTCGGTGATTACAATGGTGATGTGCTGTAAATGTGTCAAAAGCTTGTGGTGTTAAGTAGGGGGTGAACCCAAATATTTTTTCATTTTAGTGACAAATAGTGAGTAACAAGCAACCATTGTAAATATATATTGAGTGTGTGTGTGTGTCAACTTTGAACATGTTTTTGCAGGTGTTAATGATAAAATATTACTTGTTGTAGTACTGTTAGTATCATTGTATTACTTAAGAGTGAAGCATCACTAGTGTTTCAGTTTAAGCATATAACACACACACACACACACACACAGTTGGTTTGGCACTATGATTTCATTTAAGCTAATAATTTTGATATTCTCACTTAAAATAACGATGTGTGAAGCTTCTTATGGATAGTGCCATCTTGGTCTATTAGTGGCACTTGGTTTGTTACATAAAAACCCACTAGAGAAGGACTTGACATTCTTTGCTCTGTTACCTTGCGATGATTCCAGGGCTTAGCGTTCCTACGGCCCGGTCCTTGACAAGGGGGCAGATTCACAAAGCAGGTACGCAAGCACATACAAACCTGTACATCTTTTCTCAATCTTTGGCAGCTTTGTTTACAATTATTAAATGGTTAATGAGCTCCGAAGCACCAGGAGGCTGTTTGTAACAATAACAACAACAGTTGATTGGCAAGTTTTCATGCTTGTAAACTGTTTAATAAATGTAACCAAAGCCGTCAGAGATTGAGGAAAGATGTACACGTTCGTAAGTGCTTGTGTAACTGCTTTGTGAATCTGGCCCCAGGTACCGTATTTTGGTATTCAGTTACTTTATATGTACTGTCCATCGGAGTTTTTTTGTATGGAATGAGCACATTTGCAAAACCTGAATGCTACTGAACATTGCCTGTGCTTTTGTAGCTTTTTCATCTGAAATGTGCTTCCATATTAATCTTCTCAAGCATTTGAAGTGTAGGAGGTTTGAATCATATTAGCCCTTTATAGAGTAGGTCAGGTAAAGCAGTTATCAATAACTTGTGAGCTAATCAAGGTCTGTTGACATCTCTCTTCCCACCCGAGTTTGGATCCAGATTGGATCGTATTTTCTAACACAAGTACACATGAACCATGAGGTAGTATTGGAGGAATTGGCTTATGTGTCCATACAGCACAGTGATGGTACGTTGTGTACTGGCTACGTTCTAGGAATATTGTGCATATATGTACCTCAAAATTATGCAAGCGATAACTTTTAAATTGTGATATCGAAATGCATTTAAGAATGCTTGAATTGCCACTCAGTAATTTTCTAACTAAATCAGGTACCAAGTGACACCTTGGATGCAATTTTAAGTACTATTTAAAAAAAAAATTGTTTTAGCGAGTTTTGTGGAAAATCCAGATTTGATAATAGTCTATGAAGGGTTAAAAGCATCACAGAAGTGCTTGAAAATTTTTCATGCAAATAAGTTAAAATAATGTGATGACAGTTCAGACATTACTGTGAAGGGGAAAAAAATTACATTTCTGTGTCGGTCGTATATATGACGGAGTTTGTTGTTAGTTAAAGAAATAAGAGTTCCATGCATTGTACCTGACAAGGTGTCTAGGAGTCATTTAACCAATGAAAGTCCTACTATATTATAAATTGTTAAATCATTGTAAGAGTATTGTACTTGTCTCGAATCCACATTTACTTTCGTATTTCCTTGTCGTGAAGCTTTTTAATTCATGCATGGTCTGAAGGGAAATAATACTGTGGAACGTGCTTTATCAATGGGTATCATTATGAGCCTATGGGCTATTTTATCATTGATATAATAATTATATCAATGATATATTGATATAATATTTATAGATTGGTATCATTGTTATAATAGGTTTGACATGATGCATTATAATATTTTAAATGATGTTCGGCACTTAGTTTTGCAAGTTATGTTGACGACGAGCAAGTCTTTAACGTACTAGTGTACGTTACTAACGTAATAGTGTAGTAACTAGTGTACGTTACTAACGTAATAGTGTAGTAACTAGTGTACGTTACTAACGTAATAGTGTAGTAACTAGTGTACGTTACTAACGTAATAGTGTAGTAACTAGTGTACGTAACAACACTAGCAAGTACTAGTGTTGTAGTGTATTAAAATTGACAACGATGACAAGGCTTTAGGAAAAAGGTTCTGTGTTAACTCCTCATGGATATAACCTTTATGGTATTTTCTTAGCAGCATACATTAAGATTATTCCTATATATTTATATTTATTTTTATTTCAGTACTGTATCTACCCAATGTTGTAAAAAGGAAATGGCTTGTAAATAATAATTTTTTAAATGGAATTTTTAATATTGTTTTCAGAATCCTGGCCACTTGGGCTAAAAATTAAACCTGTTTATTAGTAGCACATGAGTTTTGCCTTGTCACAGTGAAGGGGGTGAGGGTGATATGTGTGAGTTCCTAGGGCCTTTTGTGTGCTCCTTTTCTGCCACTCTGTAGGCATTGTATGTGAAGAAACCATGTAGGGGTGCTTGTTTGGGTCATGGAACCACTGGTCAGAGGAATTGCCCAAAAGGGGCAATTTCTGCTGCCCTTGAAGGTACAAGGGGGGGAGGTTTTTGGACTGGTGTTCCCCTCCGAAGTGTCACCTTGTCATGGTGATGAGGCTTACATGCAACTCCCTGAAGTGTTCTATGCCCCCAGTAGGTACCTAACTAATTTCAGCCTCAAAAATAAATGTAACTATAGTTTAAAAGACATTTCACGTGGGATGGGTGGATATTGGAAAGTGCCCATCACCGAGTCGGCTGCTGATGGAAAACGGGCTCTGTAGCCTCGGCTACGTTGGGCCCAGACCAGGCTCCTTTGTTGACTCTCCCGACTGACCCTCTCCGCTCCTCTCCCACTTCCATGGCAGGGTCGAGCCCCAAGCCCTCAGCGGTGACCATCTCGTCACGTGGCGTGTGGCTCCATCTCTCGTTGTGAAAGTGGTGCCTTTTAACCCCCTCATGCTGGGGGAACTCGCCGCTGTAACTTCAGCACTCGAACACACATGATTCCTCCCAACTTGTATATGTCCAAGGATTTGTTGGAGCCTGCCAAGTGAACTTAAATATTTTTAACTCTTACATTGATCATAAAAATCCTGGTTGATTCAGTTGACACCCCATGTCATGTTTAACCCCACCTGTTTTGGCACAGTTGTAGTTGCAGCTCCTTCTCGGGAGGCAGCAGACTGCCTGGCGTCGTTGTCCTGCACTGGTGAGAACCCCGAGTTTGGGTCTCCAAAAATGCCTGGTTATATACCAACATTGGTACAATCTTTCTCCTGCACCATGTTGTGACTGGAGATAGAGCGCTAAAAGAATAGATATTAAATATATTATCGAGGTTCAAAGCCATTCTATTCATACCAGAGTGATACTTTTACGACTCCCCCCTCCCTTGTCATTGTCAGCCTCTTCGGGTAGTCCAAGTCACTTTTGATGGTAGGTCCCTTCAGTTCTCCGTTATTCTTGCTGATGCCCCATGATCCATTCAGGAATACACCCTCTCACAGCTGAAAATAGGTGTTGGAAATTTGGACAAGGTTTCTTGCGATAGATACACTAGTGAGGTGTCTCGGTGCCCCTTGTGCGCCGTCCACCTCACCTACCTTGAGGCTACCTTGAGGTGCTTCCGGGGCTTAGTGTCCCCGCGGCCCGGTCGTCGACCAGGCCTCCTGGTTGCTGGACTGATCAACCAGGCTGTTAGACGCGGCTGCTCGCAGCCTGACGTATGAGTCACAGCCTGGTTGATCAGGTATCCTTTGGAGGTGCTTATCCAGTTCTCTCTTGAACACTGTGAGGGGTTTGCCAGTTATGCCCCTTATGTGTAGTGGAAGCGTGTTGAACAGTCTCGGGCCTCTGATGTTGATAGAGTTCTCTCTCAGAGTACCTGTTGCACCTCTGCTTTTCAACGGGGGTATTCTGCACATCCTGCCATGTCTTCTGGTCTCATGTGGTGTTATTTCTGTGTGCAGGTTTGGGACCAGCCCCTCAATTATTTTCCACGTGTAAATTATTATGTATCTCTCCCGCCTGCGCTCAAGGGAGTACAGATTTAGGCTCACGCTCATGCATACACTACAAATTTGAGGAAACCATTCTCAGTTTAAAAGTGATAGGATTTCTTTTCCCGGAGCAAGACACCAAGTTCAATGCCTTGACTTTCTCAGATATGACTTTTACTTGTCTATTGCATCACACTACTCCCCACCCTTCACCTCTCTTAATTCCACAACTGCTTCAAGGCCTTGGATAGGATTTCTTTTCCCGAAGCAAGACACCAAGTTCAATGCCTTGACTTTCTCAGATATGACTTGTACTTGTCTATTGCATCACGCTACTCCCCACCCTTCACCTCTCTTAATTCCACAACTGCTTCAAGGCCTTGGATCTCCCTCATGGCTCGCTGTCTGGTGTTTCCACCCTTCCCTCCTAGTCGTCTTCTGTTCAGTGTTACTTCTCCTCCACCTACCTCTTATGTACCCTGTGGCCTTCCCTTCTAAGTCCCGTCTCTCTTCTCGGCCCTCCACGACACCTGCCCTTCCAGACCGATGTCCATCCTCACGGTCATCTTGGTGTTATCCTTGCTTGTTCCTCTCCTAGTGAGACTGGAGGCTATTGCACAGTACATTGTGTTAAGTACAGTATATTGTTGTTGGGTCCTGCCAAGTGGAGTAAGTATTTTGAGTATAATATCATATAATCCTGTGGATTATATACCATATAATATTTTGAGTATAATACCATATAATCCAATAATACCATACAACCCTGCCAAGTAGACTAAGTTTTTTAAGTATAATAGTGTGCCAGTCTGACTGGCACCCTGAATCAGTCAGGTATAAACTTCGGTCTTCTCCATCTTCCTCCCCAGCTGGTAAGAAGCCGTCTGTCAATCCCCAGCTTTCGGCTCTGTCCCTGCCTCTCCTTCCCCCCTTCAATCTGTGGCAGAGTCTATACACCCTGCTATGGAGATTCCCAAGGCCTCTTGAATCTCCCTCTGATACTGTGATGAAATGCACTCTGCTGTTTCTGTTCATTTCCCTCGAACGCCTATCTCCGAAGCCTCTTGTCACCCTGAACTGACTGACTGGCTGTCCACCCTCCTGTCTTTTCAATTCGACTTGGTCTTTGCTTCATTTACCCATACCCACACACACCTTAATTTCTTTGAAACCTCTCTATTATATTAATGGCATAGTTGATATCCTGCTAATGTTCATAGTTTCCCTGTGGTTGATTTACATTTATTGGCTATCATTAGGCACCAACCCTTCCTCACGTACCATAGTATCTGTCTCATCGCCTTAGATATCAGAATAGTCTTGTTTGCTCAAATTTTAATTTTCAAGTCCCACTTCTGACGTGAAATTTACGTACTATTTTCCATCCTCTTCGAATATCGCGGGTCTGGTGCATCCTATTAAAGGCTCGTAGTTTAGTTTTGAGAAATCATTGTAGGTTTCAGTAAATTTTAATAATTATTCTATGAATCAAAAGTAGATATTTAAAATGACGACGGAATATAATATATACAATAGGCTATGCTCTATTTAAATTAAAGAAAATGGATCATACATTATTATAGAAAACGTATAGGATAGGGTAAACTACTATACTACTACAGGATGGGAATGGCCTCCACAACTCGCTACAGGATAGAAATAGGGACCATTGCACCAACAGGATGGGTACTAGTAGGGAGTAGAAAGAGCCTAAGCTACTCTATCCCTTTGAGATGTACTTGAACAGGCTGTGTATTGGGTCCAGTATTACCGGCACATGTACTCTGTAGTAAATTATAATAAGCACAAATTATTTCATATAATAATTTTGTTCCCCAAACAATATATACAATAGTGTATGCTTTGGAAGTAAGAGAATGAGCTTTTGGAACGTCTACAGAAAATGTAACGTAATATCAATGGGGCACTACTGCAAACAGGATTGATATAGGGTCCACGAGAAGTCACATGATGTTTATGTGGTCCACTACCACCCAAAAGGATACGTATGGGGTCCACTAACACCTGATAGATGGGTATTTGGTTCACTATCATCTATTGGATGGCTATGGGGTCCACTACTGCCCACTGGATTTTAACGGGGATAACTACCGCCCATTAGATGGGTAAGGGATCCACTACCACCTGTAGAACAGGTATGGGGCCTACGACCGCCCATAGGATGGGTATGGGGTCCACTACCGACCACAGGATTGGTAGAGTGTCCACTGCCGTACAAAGGTGTGCGGTAGTGGACCTCATACTCATCCTGTGGGCAGTACTGGAACCCATACCTATCCTGTGGGTGGTATAGTGGACCCCATACTCTTCCAACAGTTGGTAGTGAACCCCATACTCATCCTACAGGTGGTATTGGACCCCATACACATCAAGTGACTAGTTGTGGACCCTATATCCATCGTGAGGATACACTGGCAGTGTTTAAGGCAGCAATGTTCAGTGTACAGGTTCCCAAGTAGGAAGACTTGAGAGGCAAGACTGACGAGAGGCATCAACATCAGAGGCTCTAGTGTCACGTGATAGGCTTGACGTGGTGAGAGGCAATGTTGTGTTATGTCATCCCGTCGTTGTAGAATGCAGCCAAGACCCGAGACGGTCTTAGCTGCCTTCCTTACTGTCTGACTGTGGTCGTCTGAGGTGGAGGTTACGATAAGACAGGTCTAAGCTTATAAATATCAAGGTAAACAAACAGCTCTTAACAGGCAGAACTGAAGCTGTTAGAGCTGTAGAGGGCGTGTAGGAAGGAGCTGTGAACCGCTTGACATCCTATAAGACTCGTCTTGAAACTTGTACTCCAGGCGCTCGAGTACCTTGAGTAGCCGGAGACAGGAAGAGCGAGGAAGGCGACGAGAAATCTTGTTCTGAAGACGAGAGGAGCGCTGAAGACCCCGTCCGGCGTCACGAAGTGATGGTCCAAGACCCCACTTCAAATCAAATGTTTATTCAGGTAAAAGTACATACGAGTTCAAAAAAAATAATGGCGGATTTCTAGATAGTACATACCAAGCCTAAAGCCACTAATACGCACAGCGTTTCGGGCAAGGTGTGGGAAAAACAAACTTGATACTAATTGAGATCAAGGCATAAATTGAGTTGAAAAAGAAGGGGGGGAGGGACATGGTAGATATCAGTAGTTATATAAGTTTGTCACGATAGTATGATAGATGGAATTACTGGTGTCTATTTCACATTGCCTTATATCTACACGATTTTGTTGAAGTTCTTGGTGTACTATTGCTCTCAAACTGCCCGAAACGCCTTGCGTAATAGTGGCTTTAGGCATTGTATGTACTATAGCTCTATCTATAAATCCATCAATGTTTGTATCACACCTTGTATGTATGTACTTTGAATAAACATTTGATTTGTTTTGAACTGCGTACTAACCACAAGTTGGTCAACAAACAGTATTGTTTGAAAATGGTAAGACATGGCGTGACATTTAAGGGGTAAGATAGGTTACATAGTTTATTAGGTAGTATTTTGCTTTTCTCTTAAACTGGTTGAGAGAGGTACAGCCTGTAACATGACAGGGAAGTCATTCCACACTCTGGGTCCCCTCGATTTGTAGAGCATTTCTAAATTAAGTCGCACTACACTACACACAGATCACACTAACGTGATGCATCAAATGAACAAATCCACAAGGGCCGTGACGAGGATTCGAACCTGCGTCCGGGAGCATCCCAGACACTGCCTTAATCGACTGCCTTAAATCGGTGTCTGGGATGCTCCCGGACGCAGGTTCGAATCCTCATCACGGCCCTTGTGGATTTTTTCATAAGTCGCACTCTTGGAATATCAAATAGGTATTTGTTACTGGTGGTGGTTCAGAGTAATATTCTGAACAATGTCATCCTGGACGTCAATAGTTATTATAAAGCATACATGTTCATACTTCAATGAGTTAAAAATCACTTAGTCATTAACGAGGGATATCTTAAACCAATTAAAAAGCAAATATTTAACATCATCCAATATTGTGTCAGGAACTTTGGGTTGTTGGGTTTGTTAGTCTGTTAGTGCATATATTGTTGAACGGCCGTATTAGGATTCATAGCCAACTGCCTCAACTAAACTAAAATTTTGAATATTGCTGCCCTCAGTATACTCAAAGGCAGAGATCTTAATCTATTCCTTCGAGGGAAAGATTTAGCACACTTCTTAATCCCACAAGGTTTCCGTCCCGGCCTTAATTCCCCAGGTCTATTTACCGACTGTTCTTTAACTAATTTAGTGTTCTGGTAATTATTTATTCCCCCCCCCCCCCACGTGTGGGTACAGTACATTGTGGTACAGAATGAGTGATTGATTGATGAAGATTAAGCCACCCAAGAGGTGGCACGGGCATGAATAGCCCGTACGTGGTGGCCCTTTTGAGCCATTACCAGTATCAAGAGCCGATACTGGAGATCTGTGGAGGCGCGACTGCACCCTGCGTGACGGGAGATGTCTCCCGGACCAAGTGGTGACAGAATGAGTGGGAGGAGGGGGCGATATATGGCAAATAATTCTGTGTGTATGGAGACAATACCAGAGTGCATTTATACACGTGAGGCCTATATAAAGCCCCCCCCCCCCCCCCCCAACATTCCTCTCCCAAGGTCGAATTACCGATCCCCTACTTAGGATTCGACCCTAAAACAAGGTGACTAACTCCCGAGTACACTTCTACTGCTGGGCAAGTAGAGTATTAGGTGAAAAGTGTGGCCCACCATTTTGACCCCTAAAAATTTTTGTAATTTCCGAAGGAGAGAATGTCGTGCCCTGTGGGACCCCTCCTTATAATAAACTAGAGTGGGATAGGCCCATGTTTTCAGTACACAAAGCTTCCAAACAGGGAAGAAAATCTTCCAAATAGTGGGAAAATCCAGTCTCAAAGGACGATCAAATTAATCATCATAATGCTAACTATTCGATGAATTGGGAAGACTTCAAACCATGTCTGTTCAGTACAAGTTTAATACCAAGACCATCACAATAGCAAATATACAACTTCTAATAATCCCACGTTGTAGTACACAGAAACTATCCTTCAAACACTCAATTGGAAGACGCAGCAACGGCCCCTTCAAGTTTATCCGGTTTGTTCAGCTTTTCCTTCGCCATCTTGCCGAACTCCGCGGCCCCGGGTTCATTCACTTCACTGTAGCCAGGCAGGGTTGACTTGCAACGCTCCAGCCACGCAGTCACATTTTCATGACCAGATAAGTCTATGCCACAAGCTTCCATGGTCGACACAGATGCCACCAAGACGTTGTCAGCGACAGTGACAGCGTCTCCGACGGCATGATCGTGTCCGGCCAGGAACTGGTCAAGCCAGCCTAGGGCTTCCTGCAGGGACTCTAGCTTTTGCGGATCTGCCTTCTCTGCTCCACCGAAGGCAACTGGATACTGGAAAAAATACAATTAAATTTCTGCTAAAGCAGTGGAACGTCTAGAAAGCCAAAAAATGTCTTGTACAGATTTTGCAAAGTTATTTAAGTTACCTTTGACGGAATGACCAAGATGAAGTTAAACATTAACGCCCTTTTGAGTAAGAGCAGCACAAGAACTTTCATAGATTAGTCTATAGATTTCTATAGAGTTTCAGGTTAACGACAGAGGCCCCACCCTTCAAGAGGGTGATCAGGCTCTTTTTTTGCGGAAACCAGAGGAAGTTAACCAAGGGGGGGGGGAGTAGAGTTAGATCAAGATATTCATTGTTAAGACCATGAATCCTGATTCTTGAAAGACCTCCAGGAAGTCTTTGAGTTAACCAGAAAAGTTCTATGAAGAGCTATATTTAGTAGATCTTTCCAGTTAAGGATAGCTAAAAAAAAAAAAAAAAACGTTTAATTCCCCCCTTTCAATGTTACGTACAAAGTTCTTTAATCTAAAAGTTTGCAATACAAGTTACGTATATATTTTGACAAGTTCCTATATAACTACACATCCCCGCAAGTTTCAAAGTTGGTAATTGCATCTTCAAAAAGGATAGTACATTTAGTCCACATCAGAAGTGGAAACCGTTTCTCCCCCTAAACTGGTCAGGGACTGAGTAGACTTAAGATTAACCAACCACATATTCTCCAAAGCGGTGGTAGAGGGTCCCCATGTCGAAGTAAAGAAGGCGGTCAACCCGAGCACGGGTCTTCGGATCACTTGGGTAGAAGGCGTCCAGTTTCCCGTACTGACTGGCGAGGTACGTGCAGATGGCACGGCTGAAAGGAACAAGATTTTTAACTATCCGATAACCATCTGTAGTAGTTAAGAGTCAATTAACAGAAAGGCAACTTTCCTCACCTCTCCCAGAGGATAAAGTCGCCGTCGACTAAAGTTGGGACGCAATGCTGGGGGTTAAGAGCAATAAACTCTTCCTTCATTTGTTCCTTAGCCCAGAGATCAACGGGCTTTAGGTTAAGGTCAACCTCCATGGCTTTAGCCGTTAACATCACAGACCGACAGGCAGCTGAAGCTGGAGTGTAGTAGAGGTCTACAGTCATTGTGCCTGCAAGGAATTTTTAAACCCTTTAGACTTTTCGAATTACCGGTACTAGGCTACATGAATATTTTAGCCGTCATAAGCCTCAATAGAGCGATTTATCAGGTGTAAAAGTCTTTACCGCCATTTGATTCTTTTAGGATTTACCATATTTATTGTATGGTGTTCAATTTCAAGCTCTAAACGTTCTTTAAATAGAAATCTATTTTTCATCTTTATTACCCAGCAATTTGTTGACCAAGGTATAAAACACTAAAACAGTTACTAATAATGCAATCTTAAAACCTGTATGCAATATATCCGTTTTGTATATATTTAATACATAAATGTTTAAAATTTAATACTTTAATTATGTGGCCTATAACTTTGCCTATCTCAAACGGTTTCCCCAATATTTTGTGGGATTAAAAATTGCTACGCAGGAAGAGTTCTAGATTATGTGCGCTATTGCAATCACCGCTTCGCAGTTAGACTGCAATTATATCAATTTACATTTTAATTCATTACTAAACTTTGAGTTAGTTTCACCAGCTGTCAAGCTACCATTTTAAAGAATAGTTTGAATATTTCTGTTTTAAAGAGTCTGGCAAATTTGCCCGCTCGATCCATGTTCTAAATTTTAGGAAATGGCAAGATTGGAATGGTGCCATAAGCTATGCCTATGCCATAAGCATATGCCATGCCATAAGCATATGCCATGCCATAAGCTAGCTTTAACTATTACTGTGAGCCTCTAAATTTATTTCTAACTTTGGTTCAAGCGTTTTATTAATCTTTTGACATACAAATTGTGACTAGTGCCTCAGTTACAAGGGAAGAGTATCAACTCTCGAAAAAGTTGAATTATCCACAATGGAAAGTTGGTTTTGCAGTTATTTAAGCAATTTTATTCAATACGTAAATTAGAATTCCAGCGTAATTACTCTTACTACATACAATTAATACGAGCCCTCCACGGCTAACACTGCCCGATTAATTATCGGGCAAGCTAAGGGTTCACAGGGCCCTCGTAGGGTCATTCCGTCTTATAGGGTTGTGGTTAGTTATGCCTTTATTAACGTTGGAAACCATTAGACCAGCCAAGTTTCCCCCCTCCAATATACTTTAAGTTTTATATATACAACTTTAAAGTATCAACATCTTTAGTAATTTTCATAGTTATAGGTTTAAACTTCGTACAAGTTTAAAAATAGTTTCCCCTACTACAGTTAATATCACAATTCAGGATACTTTCCATGCCACAGATACGCAATAACTGGCCAATTTACAGTATTTACCTAGTTTTAGACTTCCAAATAAACCTCAAACAATGTCGTATTGACTCGGTCTAGTTCCCCATACTTCCCTACCGACATTCCTATTGCTTTTTCCCCTATAAAACACATTCTATACAATAAACTAAAACATTAAAAAGAACTCATTCTTACCTGTGAAATGATTTACGTGTGTTTGCTATGGAAGCAGAGGCGCTACTGTGGATCGTCAGCTGTCATGAGACGAGGTAAACATTGCCAACCAATAGGGGGCCGAGTTTGGCCACAAGCAATTAGCCTAATGACACACTTCTTAATCAAATACTCTTAACACTCGGCCTATTGAAGGAAACTTGTCAAAATAAACAAAGAGAAAAATAAGTAATATATTTTTTAATATAATCACCTGAAGGACCGAATTAACACTAATTGTCTATTAATTATATTTGCATTTAGTCATTTGACTTGAAATTGAAAGGATTTTTTTTGGTTTATAATTGCACAACATCACTCGCATATTCATCTCAAGCATGAAATAAGTAAATAACAATTAAATAAACATTGAGAAAGCAATATAGAATCCACTCATTTTTTTGTTTTGAGATATATACAAGAGTTGTTACATTCTTGTAGAGCCACTAGTACGCGTAGCGTTTCGGGCAAGTCCTTAATCCTATGGTCCCTGGAATACGATCCCCTGCCGCGAAGAATCGTTTTTTCATCCAAGTACACATTTTACTGTTGCGTTAAACAGAGGCTACAGTTAAGGAATTGCGCCCAGTAAATCCTCCCCGGCCAGGATACGAACCCATGACATAGCGCTCGCGGAACGCCAGGCGAGTGTCTTACCACTACACCACGGAGACTATTATGTATAGACAAATAAACTATTGCCACCCATATGGGATCTTTATGAACAAATCCACAAGGGCCGTGACGAGGATTCGAACCTACGTCCGAGAGCATCCCAGACACTGCCTTAATCGACTGAGCTACGACAGGGTTAAAAATAGTTAAAAAAAAAAACTTCGGTTTCAATTCTTTTTAACCCTGTCGTAGCTCAGTCGATTAAGGCAGCGTCTGGGATGCTCCCGGACGCAGGTTCGAATCCTCGTCACGGCCCTTGTGGATTTGTTCATTTGATGTATCACGCTATTGTGATTTCTGTGTACTCACCTATTTGTGCTTGCGGGGGTTGAGCTTTGGCTCTTTGGTCCTGCAGGTCAGCGTTCAATCCCCCGAGACCGTCCACAAGTGGTTGGGCACCATTCCTTTCCCCCCGTCCCATTTCAAATCCTTATCCTGACCCCTTCCCAGTGCTGTATAGTCGTAATGGCTTGGCGCTTTGTGTGTGATGGGGGCTTTGTAACCAGTCTACATAGGTTGTTTGTAAACAATCTAGATGGATTGTTTGAAAGCAAGTTGACTCGTTGTACATAATAAAGTGCCTTGTACACTTTACTATGTATAAAGTAAAGGGTCTTTGTGCCTATGCCCCCACCAGGATTCGAACCCGCGCTGCCAAGGCTCGCCTCACTGGCTTGCACTTAGGCAATCGCTGGTGGGATGGTGTTAGTACTGTGTAAGCCAGTGGGGTGAGCCCTGGCAGGTCAGGTTCGAATCCTAGTGGGGCTCATATAGATTTTTGAGACGCGCCAGCACCTTTGCATGATATGTATCGTTCCTGTTTACCCTTGACTTGCCTAAACGTACAAAATAAGGGGTGTTATAACCACGCGCCTAACCCAACCAACCTACGCAGTCACCTGGGGCCAGACAGAAACTCTGCTCATTTGTTTCTGCCTTCGCCGGGGATCGAACCCGGAAACTTAGGATTACGAATCCCGAGCGCTGTCTACTCAGCCGTCAGGCCCCCTGGCGGCTGAGGGGGGTGGGGTCAGTTATTAAGGCCCTGTCTTAATAACTGCCTAATTGGCTTGTTTCTCCATATCTCACCTGTGGTATCCGTGCCTGGAGGATCTACTCCCTTTAATTACCTGTGACTCTTAATTACTCATCAACAATCACCAATTAGAATAATAACAAACTTCATTTCCAGGCGTCCAACCACTTGGGC